AAGCATAAATTGAAGCTGTGGTTTGGGAACGGCCTCAGAGGGGACTGGCAGCAGATCCCAGGCCAGGCAGATCTAATGAGAAGTGACTGAAATGGGGAAAAAGGAGAGAAGTGTGGGGCATGAAAATGAGTACAAACAGCTTGTGGCGCTGGAGGCATATACCAGTGCATGAGGTGTGGTCCTGCACCTGGAATTCAGATAAATTATCTCCAGTTATTGGACACCATACAAGTTTTGAGAAAGGGGCTGGAAGATGCAAATATATACTTTGCTAAAGGGCTTCTGATTTCTTTCCACTGTTCTGCAGTGATGGACACAACATATCGGGCAGAGTTGAAGTTCCGATTTTAATTGGGAGTAACCAGAATTAACAGGATTAGACGAGATTGTTTCAGAGGGACAGCTTGTGTTCAGCAGCTGGAGACAAAGTTAGAGATGCAAGGCTGAGAAGGTTTGGACATGTGCAGAGGAGGGATAGTGTATGTTGAAGATAGAGTTGCCAGGCAGGAGGAGACATGAAGATTCATGGATGATATCTGATTTAGAGAAACTAAATCAAATGCAAACAATAATTAACTTATTTTATGACACACATGCGTTCAAATGTGTTTTTTTCTTTTTATTTAAAGTTCTGAATAAACCTTATGCAGCATTTCGTGGGTAAAAATACAGATATATATATACACGGTTTAAAGGACAAAGAAATAGATATGAAGCTCAATGTGAGACGACCTTGATCCTACAATATGAAACATGTAAATAATATTATATAACAATATCAAAAACAGTTTGCAAGTAAAAGCAGTCCGGAGTTAAATTTTTTTAAACAAATACTGAATAAAGCAAAACCGTTTAAGATTTTGATGATAGCACAGAAAACAATTCTAACCTTTAGCCTAGGTGAACAACGTAATGCGTTACGCAACACTCACCTGGCGGAATCGTCCTTGCTGTGTATCCTGCACACCGGAAGTTACTCGGGAGACAAATGATGTAACACGCGGAAAGTTCCGGATTGTCTAAAGGTCGCTGAATATAAAGCGGTGTGACAGCATCAGTGTGTATTTATTTAAACCCGCAGGTAAACTTACTAAAGTGTTCAACATGCCGAGAGGAAGCAGAAGCCGGACGTCCAGGATGCCCCCTCCAGCCAGGTAACACTTAGGGTTTAATTCCCTTTTGTTAAAGAAAGGTAGAGTAGATATTTTTAGTTAACACAAATGCTAACGTTTAGGTAACGTCATAGTGCCGTATGTTAGCTAGGAAAGTGCAGGTCATGAGGTGCTTCAAGTAGCTCATAAGGATAACTTCAATTAAAGCTTAATTGCCGGTTAATCTGGGTATTGCTCAGAAAGTTACTGTGTTATGAAAATGATGAAGGTCATTGTCTTTATCGTGGTTTCCTCTGTACAAATCCCCACATGCTAGCAAAGCCAGTGGAGTTGCATCAGCTTCTATAGTTTTTCTTCTAACCTGCAGCTAAACTGAGACTTAATTCTTCCAAGTTATAATGAAATAAGTCGCACAAGGGTTGGAAGTATTTCTGTTTCTCTTCTCCTTGTGGGAAGTATAATCCCTCTGTGCCCTCATTTCTCTTTCACTGAATATATCCGAAACAAAGCTGGATATTTAGCTGAAACTAAGAATTGCAAGAACACATTTGACTCTTGGTGCTTAATAATTTGTACCAATGTCTCCACCTGTAAGGCCAAGCTGCTTAGAGAAAGACTGATTATTTTCCACAATGACATGTTGTTTAAAGTTCACTTTGGGCACAGGTGGGCTTACTTTATCCAGCTACAGGATAACACTTTTTCTTAGCAAGTAAAGAACAGATCCCAGGAGGAGACGCAAATCCCTTCATGGTTGCATCAAGAAGAGCATCTGAATATTATTCTCGCTTGTGAATAAGTGATCAGCTGAAAGTAGCCCTTTGATGTCTTACTAGTGTGGAGATATTCTCCGAATCAGAGCTTCACCTTTATCTAAGCTTTCATAAACCTTTGCAGTGATTCAGAGTAATAGCTGGAATAACAGATGTCAGCTCATATCTGTTTTTGATTGTGTTTGGACTAAAAAGTTCTTAAAACGTTTTTGTTACAGCCGGGCTCCACCATCCCCACCACCTATGGCCCGGGCTGCTCCCCCTCCCTCCTACGCCCCAGCTCCGATGCAGGCGCCTCCGTCCGCTGTGGGCACGCCAGCCGCAGCGCCCAGGCAGCCGGGTATGTTTGCCCAGATGGCGTCTACAGCCGCTGGGGTGGCAGTAGGCTCGGCGGTAGGCCACACAATCGGTCACGCCATGACTGGAGGTTTCAGCGGAGGACACTCAGAGCCTGCCAGGCCTGACGTCACATACCAGGTAAGCCCAGGTTTAGCCAGCCACAGGACTGGAACAGTTTCAAGGAAGATTAGGGTGTCTGAGACACAGTATGCAGGGCCTCTGCACCATGGACATGTGAAAAACAAACACCACATTTTATGTAACGCATGGATGCAGTTACATGCACTGTGGTAGCTCAGTATAATAACAGCCAGATGGAAACAATATGATGAAAATTCAGACTTTTAACTAAAAGCAGTGAAGGAATCATCTTGCTTTCATTAAGACTCTTGAGTGCAATCAGTGCTGGTTGATTAGAGATGAATTACTCCCTCTGCTCAATCTGGGTTTGTGGTTTTTTTATTTTTTATTTTTATTTTTTTATGTTTACACATGTGATAAGTTTAATTTGAAAATACAGACACAGCTGCTGCTGAAGGAAAACATCAGTTATGAAAAATATTTGGGGTGTTTGATGGGTTTGTAGCTTAAACCTATTCGCTGGAACGTTCAAGACAATTCAACTACACAGCAAAAAGCATTGAACACCAAGTAGGCAAAGTTCTTTTACTCATGAGGGAGAGAACCACGACAAGCGCCGTTCCTTCGCTTGACCCCAGTCGGTCTCGTCCGCTCCCCCGTAACACTGCGGGGGAGCAGTAACCTCTTTAATTGAGGTTACATGAATATACACAGGTTCATTAACATATGACGTCTACATGCACACAAAGAGTACCTTGTCTGTGTGTGTGACCCCATAAACGACTTCCCTAAACCTGCTGGTCTGGAAGTCCAGCAGTTCATCTAAACAAAAGGCACTTAGAGTAAAACAGATATACGTGTGTTTGCTATACCATACATCAGTAAGAAAAGATACCTCTTCCCATGACCCTAAGATTGTGAGTGTGCATGCCAGAACACTCTGGAATGCACACAAAGTCTTTGCAGACAACTAAGGATCAAACCTATCACTAGACAATCGATTATACACCTTTAAGCATATATGGTTAAATATTTCTAAGCATTAATGACAATCAACAATATAAACCTGACAACATTTATAACCAAAACAAAAGTCCAAAGGTCAAATGTGGTTTATTTACATTCACACAAGTGCAGGGAAAAATGCATAATGATGTTTGTCTCATTAACCCTGAACCCAGTAGATCACTATCTTTATGCAGTTACATTAATAGTAGATTTTAAGATATGAGTGATGACCAATCATTTACTCTGCTTTTCTTTATGACAAAAAGGACTCGGAAACCACACACACTTGAGCAGTTTGAGGATTGCAGTTTTAGATATTTCAGCATTTTTATCGATAGATGTGTAAATATATTTACTTTGTGTCATTAATGGAAGATATTCCATCTTTGTGATACAAAACTGATGCTCGTTCTGACATGTTAAACTCTGTTTTGATCTTTGTCACACACGTGATTTAATCCTCTGTCTTGTGTGTATTAGGAGCCGTACCAGGCCCAGCCTGTGTACCAGCAGGGGGCCCCTCAGGAGCAGCAGCAGCAGGCCTGCTCCTACGAGCTCAGGCAGTTCGTCGAGTGTGCCCAAAACCAGAGCGACCTCAAGCTCTGCGAGGGCTTCAGTGAGGTACTCAAACAGTGCAGGTTTGCTAATGGTGAGTAAAACACGTCCAGGCTTTGTATAAATGGAGACTGTTTTCTGTCTTATAGTCATTGCTTTTCATCATTATTAGTAATTTGATATATTTAAAGTGAGAGTAGTTACGAAATGCTATACTTTCTGTTGCATTTGAGGCTAGCTAAACATTTGCTACTTATGGGGGGTAGACGCACAACCTGTTGCACATTTTCAGCATGCTCCTTTCATCCCACATAAAATTCTGTTATAGTACTGGATCTTCCTGATTCATATCAAATAGATCAACATCAGGTTGTTGCTTTTTCAGTCTCATTTCTCTTTTCAAACTGAGTTTAACCCAGCAAGCATCGAGGCTTTGAATGAGCCCTTTGTCGCTCGCATATCAAAGCCAAATGACTTTGCACTATTCTAAACTCCTGTAATACCCAGTGTGGCCATAAGGGGGAGCCTTAACCTAAGTATGTTAAGTCAGTTTAAACGATTTAAAGTATTAACTGTCCTTTTTTATCTCTTTCCACAGGTCTGTCATGAGAAGAGATGCTATCTGCAGAATGAAGATCACATCTCCTTATTACAGATACTGAGAGGGTGTAATTCACAATCAATAAACATGTTTTAATGATCAATTGTCTTCGGACAGCCTCATTTCTCAGACTGCTGCAGAGCTTGTAATCATAGTCTTATAAATAATGTTTATATATTTTGGTTTTAGCTCATGTTTGAGGTTTATTTTCAGTTGTCAGTGCATGCTTTTAATTTAAATCCTGTCTCTCATGTCAAAACTTGTAGAGAGAAAAAAGGCCACTTTCACCTTCTGGCTGCTGGGTTTGATTCAGACTAATAAAGGACTTGAATTAAAACGAGAGTCTGTGAATTTTTTATTTTTTTTCCCACGTCTCCTCATCATATGCGCTCTGTATTATTACACTGAAGCATTTCTGTTTTCACCTGCGCTTTCTTTAATTAGACTTCAGCAGCTACAAAGGGGTGTCCCGCACCTGTCCCGTCACTTTGCTCTCAGCGCAAAATTCACGAGCTGCAACCTGCGCGTGAAGTAATGTTTTGACTCTAAAAGCGTCGTGGCGAGAGCACGAGCCGCGGGGTATTATTTCATGGATGGGGGTTTTTGTAAGGACTCATTCAGGGTGTCCTTCTGCATCTGCCGAAGCAAATAGTTATTTTTGGCACCTGACATTAAAGCTCACCCTCTGCAGCATGGCAGCAGCAGGCCCGCAAACGCTCCATAGCGCCGGAGTCTGACTGCAGCTCTTTGTTCGTCCTCAGAAACTCACTGTGCGCGATTTGATGATGGATTCTCTTCGTATCAGGGACTGACGGACACGGTGAGGGACGCCGACCTTTTAATGCGTTTATATTGCAGGTCACTCGGAGACAGTGAGTGAGCAGTTGAACGGGTTCACACGTGGTGGCGTGGGTTGCTTTATTAGTCTGCGCTGTGTTTGGTATGACATTAAGTTTGAAACGATGGCTTCTTGTAGTCACCCAAAACACGTTCTGTGAGTTTATTGGACTTTTGTTTGCTTTACTGGAAGAAGTGAAAGGAGACAGGTGGGTACATGTTGTAACGACGGGAGGAAAAAGTCGCCCATCTGTTTTTTATCATTTAAAATCAGATGTTTAAAAATCAGATGTTTTGCGCGTTAGAGCATCGAAGAGGAAAATTTAACCACAGCCGTGTTACTGAGACCATCATCATATTTTCAAACTGGTCTTTTATTGAAACTGAAGCGACACAGTGATGTTGGCACATGTTACAGGCTGTAAAATACGAATTTCCTGTTCAGTATTCAGTGCGCATTCACTGGCCAGTCTCGTTTCTGACTACAGTAAAAGGAGAATGTCCAAACTACACGTTTTCTGTTGGATATTTATGAAAACATTGCTCTTTTTTGCACATTTATTCACAGAATTGCAGAAAATATTTATTCAAAAAAACTCTTCCTGTGATGTAAGTAATCAGATGGAGAAGTGGGAACTGATTTCCATTAAAAATCACGAGTTCAGTAATTTAGGGGCTCAAAGTGATGTATGATTTTCAGAAATCTCCACACTAATAGAACTGTTTCAGTTCTGTCTATATTCTGACAGGTTTTAATAATAACTTGGCTTATAGGCCGTTATAATCCTAAAAACATGGAAATAATGCTAATAATCATCATCATTTTGAATCTTTTCTTGAGATTTTTGCGCCGGAAGTGCATCCAAATGAGTAGATACGAGAAGTTTGTCTCCTGTAAACACTAAAATGTAGTTTCAAGCTAAGTAATTAATTGGGATCAGGGACGTTCTAGTAATTTTTAAACGGAGTGGCACTGGGACAACCAAAGGAAATAAGAATACTTAAAGATAAATAAAATGGATTAAAATAAATCACACTGCAATTTAAAAGAAAAAAAGGTATCGCTGTCTATGGCTACGCCCTAGCAGTTAAGGGAATATACTTAAGTAGGTGTAAAATGCCTAAAGTAACTGTACTCCATATGTTACATGATGTTATTGGTAATAATTACAATTAAATGATTCATTTGTTGATGATTTTGATTACTTAAGTATCACTCAGTAGCTTGATCTGTTTAATTACTTAACATTCTGCTGATAAAGCTTTAAATTGAACAGTATGGCCTACAAAATACAGCTGGCACGCCTGGTGCCCAAACACATATCTTATCTGGACAGCTCCTGCTGGTGAAGCAGCTAACTGGTGAATATCCATCAGAACAGCTTGGAAGCAGTTCTAGTGTGATCAGATGTGCAAAAAGCCTTAAAGTAGAGCTGTGTTTAGTGAAAATGCTGCTGTTTTGAATGCATATTCTGCCTGCAGCCTGAGGTCAGCTGCAAGAGGAGATACTTCTGTACTATTAGCCTTGAGCTGGAAACATGACCAAGGAGGAGGAGATCCCTGACTGGGTGGGAGCCAAAGAGTTCTACGACAAATATGAGCCCAAGGAGATTCTGGGAAGGTATGTTTACGAAACCATCATCGTAACGTGACCCACAGCAGAGGTTCACCCAACTGAGCTGAGCAGAAAACTCTCCATTGGACTTTGGACTAAAGAGTGCACAGTTTTACCTCTTAAAGATTAGGTAAACTAGACCTATATGTAGCCACATGTGAGGGTTCCAGGATAAAGATCCACTTGAGCAAAACCCCAAAAAACAATAATGGTTTATTGTTTGTGAATTTAACCCAACTCGTCTCTTCTTCAGAGTTTACACAAAGTAACTTCAAAGAGTAACAAGGCAGAACAGAAAAAATGGTAAAATATCTACTTGCTATTAGTTTGTAGAGACTCATTTAACGTTACAACACACCTCAGATTTAGACCTCAGTTCAAACAGCTATCATTCTCTGCACAGAACAAGCACTTTCCCCAAAGTTTCCCACAAGCCCCTGAGAAATGGGAGCCGAGCCAAGGCCTGCTCATTGTCATTCAGTCCACCAGCTGTCAGAGGGGGGTGCTGTTACGTAAGACACATTATCCAAGGAGGCCACATTTATTAACTTCAGCACGCTTCAGACAAAGTGTTGGCCGTCGGTCTGATAGATTATGTAATTTCACCCCCTTTTCCCACATGCAGGTCAGGAGGTCACAGGATGTGGACAATGTGTCATTCTTCTAGTATTCTTCATTCAGAGAAAAGTCACTGGAGTTCCTTTACTGTGGTCACCCTGAAGTTTCTCTTGTTCATTCATAAATCGCCCTCTGAATTTAATTTCAGCAGTAAGGTTTTCAGTTTGCTTACTTGATGTTTTTCTCTGTTTTCCTGGACGTCAATGATAAACAAGACAATCTTCATGACAAGCACATTCTTCACTGTTTTTACTTGCTCTGTCAGACTGATAAGATGGTAAAAACACACAATACTTTCCTTTAGTCTGACCATGTCACTGATTTCTTACCAAAAACAGTGCTGTTTTGAAACGGTTAAACACATGATTCATGATGAAAGACACTGTGACGGTCACAGAACATTTTATCCAGCAGTTATCACAAGTTGCCCTCCTACCCAAACCTAAAAAACAACAGATGTGCAGCTCGGACGGCTGATGTGTTTTTTTTCATCCTCAGGGGAGTGAGCAGCGTGGTGCGCCGCTGCGTCGACAAGCATACGTCTCAGGAGTACGCGGTGAAGATCATCGACATCACCCCTTCTGACAAGATGACGCCGCAGGAGATCGAAGAGATCAGAGAGGCGACGGTGAAGGAGATCGACATCCTCAAGAAAGTCTACGGACAGGAGAACATCAGTACGCATGCTTCATTTAATCAGTTTGACTGGGAAAACTTGGGTTCGTTTAAACTTTGTTCTTCTAACATGGCCAAATATCAAAGTAACTCTCTTCTCCAGTTCAGCTCAAAGACTGCTATGAGTCCAAGGCCTTCTTCTTCCTGGTTTTTGACCTGTAAGTGTTTCACATGGATGATTC